AGATACTTGTTGAACTGATCCTCTTTCTAGGTAATCTGCGCTCCATTCCTCAATAAAGACATCTTGTCTGTGCTCTACACTGAGAAGCTCTTTAGAATGGGAGAGTTCCTATTGTCTTTGACAGTTTCGTTAGATTGTTATCTACTCTGCTGTCTTCTCTGAAAGAGTGAGAAACAGGGAGCAAAGGGATAGCCCAGGATGACAGGAGCAGTTCAGCTACAGTAAACTCATCCTAAAGACTGCAAGTATTCAGCTTTCAAATATTCAGGAGTAACATAAAAATAAAATGTTTAACTTCCAAATATCAGGAATAACATAAAAATAAAATGTTTAAACAAATCTGTTTTCAAGGCAGCTCCATTATAATTCCTCATTAAACCCATTGGGAAATATATTTATATGACATATTGACTTAAAATAAAAATTCTAGAGTTTACTATCTTATACATAAATATCTTTAATTGTAGGTGCAATAAATGTATACATACAGTAAAGCTTTAGTAATAAAAGTGACATCCAATGCAGTATATAGCTTTTCACCTGATTTTCAAGGAAAGTACCTCAAAATATAATCATGTCACTAGAAGTTTTTACCAGTGCTTTGAGATAAAATCACTTAATGTATAGCTTTTATGAAAAATAAAATGTTATACTTTATGAAATTAAGATAATAGCATATAATATATATACTTCCATAATATAAGTATAAGAAAAAGCAGTAATTTCTTTTAGGAGGGCAATAGACATATCTCAGTTTCTTCATTTAATATACATATTTGAGTACATTCTTCCAATGGCATTTTTATTAATCAACATTCAAATAATCAGTATTCAACTGGATAAATTTAAAAGTCATTTTTATTACTGCTATTTTTATTTAGGAAATTGTTTTTGCTTCGTTCAAGAAGCTCTAAACATATTATAATTTTTAAAAGATATGAATCAACTAACCTACACAACATTTTTTACTTCCATGATTCCATTCTAATGCTGCTTCAAATAAATATAAGCAGGAAAGTTAAAAGAATTGTTATACAGTTTCAAAAACATGTGAACAAAATGAAATTAAGTAGTGGCTGAAAATGTAAACTTCTGTTATTAAAAGCTTTAAAATTTACTTGCAATTTCTCTAGCTTTTTTTTCTAAGTTAGGTGAATTCTGAACCATTATTTTTTAAAATCTTATATTTGCAACTTCTTATTCTGGTCCATGTTATTCGTAGTAATTGGCAATTGTAGAAGTTAAAAATATTATAAAATAAACCTTAAGCTTTCAAGAAATGAACACTGCGCACAAAAATTTCATAATTTAAACCATTTTATCATGGCAACTAACCTACTCCTAATAAGATAGCTCTGTACTTCTGTCACTTGCTAAATCACTATCTACACATTGTAAGAAGCAAATTAATTGGAAATGGTAAATAAATATAAGCGTTTTAATAAAATGACTGGTCTATAATTTTAACACACTGGCTAAGAAAAAATCTCACTTGGAGATTTAGAACATAAACTAAAGAGACTGTTCCATTTTTATGTAATATGAAAAATAGGCCCTTACAACCTATGCTTATCAAAGGCCTAATATAATTACTTCTTTGCTCTAAAGCTTTAATCATTTTGATTGATTATTGTTTAATTGGACATGAGTAAAACTAAATGAGGAAACAATGTACCTTAGGGACACATTTTTGTTTGTTTCTTACTTATTAAAACCATTTATTTTATATTCTTTTATATTTCAATACAGATAAAATTATATATAAATACATATGTGTATATACATATTGTGTGTATGTGTAAAATGAACTCTCCTAGAATTTGACAATGTAATGAACATTTTAAGAAAGGAGATCTTAATAAAGTGTAGAGTTCAAGTCCTGAAAAAGGTGTTTTATAAGAGTTAGAATAATTGACATTGCCTCCTTTCATACACTTGGACATTTTCAGCTATCAGACTGTTATGCAATAAATCCTCAGGCAGTCCTGAAGCCTAAATAATAAGAACTAGTTACATAAGAACCAAGACATATGCAATATATATGTATTTATTCCATATGTTATCATAATTTATATACATTTGCTGAGTAGCTATAATATAAAATATATTATTCAGGGAATACAAAATATATAAAGCATAACTTGTTAGATGCAATGATGTAACTAATTGCTGAGGAAGATACAAACACATGCACATATATGTATATATGTGTATATGTGTGTGCATGTGTGTATGAAATAACAGTATTTTATATTCTATGTGAATTCCATTTGTATGGGCACAGTTATCCAAGTTAAGCACAAATACCATATTCTTTTCATACTTTTAAGAAATCGCTGTAAAAGTTAAAATGTTTTATCATTTAAAAAATATAAGTGAACTTATTTACAAAACAGAAACAGACTCACAGACGTAGAAAACTAATGGTTACCAGCATGGGGAAGGGGGTAGGAAGGGATAAATTGGGAGTTCGAGATTTGCAGATACTAACTACCATATGTAAAACAGATAAACAACAAGTTTATACCATATAGCACAGGGAACTATATTCAACATCTTGTAATGACCTATGGTGAAAAAGAATATGAAAACAAATATATGCATTTTCCTATATGACTGAAGTATTGTGCTGTATACCAGAAATTGACACATTGTAAACTGACTCTATTTCAATAAAAGTGTATTAAAAAATTTAAAAATATATTACCAGGATTCCTGCATGACTAGTTTTACAGAAATAAGCCTTAAGTAGACACAAGCTGGATTTGCTAACAAGGATTATATGCCTGGAAAATGAATGTTTGACACACTCAGAAATATTCTGGAGTTGTTACCAGTTATTTGTACCTGGCAAATGCTCAGACACATAACCAGATTCTTCAGAAGAGCTGGGAATACATGAAAGGGAGTTTCTTGAAAAACATGATGGCATCCTCACTTAAACTGGCAAGACTGCTGGCATCCAGCCGCCTTCCTGGATAGTCCAGGGAAACGTGCCTCTGAGAGGAAGTGCTGTTAGATTACACCCTCTGCTCTTCAAAGTCATCTTGCGATGCAGACCTTTTTACCTACATTAAATGAGCTAGGCTTTCCCTATGTCTGCTGGTGCCATTCAGTCAATTACATCCCTGTGACACTAGAGACAACTGTGCCAGTATTTATCTTCATCCTCTATTATAAGATTGAATTTTAAAATCTTGTGCTGAACTTAATATTATCTATAAAACTTACTAAGAGGCAAAGAAAAAGGGGGGGGGGGAAGTTTAGCTCATCAACAGAATCCTGGAGGTTAGTATATTCTATGGAGATTAAAGTCCCTGGTTCTTGAAACTTTAATTCAAAATTCCCTAGAGCCAGTGGGTTCTACAGATTTTTCTTTGTATCACAGCTTTCCTAGAGAGGTGTGAGCAGAGTGAAAACGAATCGCCCTAATAGCTGTAGGAACACTGACGCTTCATGCGTAACTCCAGAGGAGGCGAACAGTCCTCTGATTACCAAGAATGAAGTGCTCCAAATTGTATCAACTTCCTCTGTGGTTACTTGAGGGTATCTCTTATTTTTTGGAGAACTGAGGAGAGGTTCTTTAGGTAATTTTTTTTTTCTTTTTGAAACCTGTTTTCATGTGACTACCCTACCCATAAGCTTACTGTCATGAGTAAAAAGGCCACTGAGGAACAAGCATATTGAACTGTGGGATGGAACTTGCCATCTAGAAAGCTGCACTCTCCGAAGAAAAAAAAAATACTAATCAGCTGGATATCAGCCAAAACATCTGACAAATGTAAGTGTGTATATTTATTGGGCAAAGAGCCTACTGAAATCTGAGTTTCTAAAGGGACAGGGAACGTTTAAGCAGCACCCAGAACCCTGCTCCTCCTACCAACTCACACTCCTCATACATAAATGAATTTGTTGTTATCAGTCCCAAACATAACCGTCCCATATCTAATTGTTCTTTCAAATTTAAAGTCAGATAAGTCAATCTGCCAACGTCCTTAAGTCTGATACAAAAATAGACATTTTTGAACTAATTTCCATTTTCCATTTTCTGACTTAACAGAAGAACCACAGAAAGGAAACATCATTGTTTACTGAAGTGTATAGTTTCATCCATTTCATTCATTTTCTTAAAGGCTTTGCCACTATGTATTTAACAAATAATACATCAATTAAAATTTACAGCAGCACTCTGGAGTTTGAACATATTGTGTTTAGTTTGCTGCTTCTCTTCAACAATATCTATTCCACCTGCTCTCCAAAATACCAGGGCATTATCCTCTAATCACCCGACACTAGTGATATTGTTAAACTTCTTAACTTCATGAATTTAGGTATTTTTAGTGCTGAAAGCAAATACAAAGCTCCCGATGTCTGCATTGTTTTGTTAGAACTGTAACAGTGATTTCAATGAAAATAGTTAAAAATCTATCATATTCAATTTTCATAATTAAACAATTACATATTAAGAAAGTAAAGAAAAAACCAGCACCTAATATCTGCCTGAGTTATCTCAGTATCACTAGAATAATAACGTAATCTACTCTTACCACTTCAGATAAGCAAACGTACCATTGCAATGATTAGGTCTCTACAATTTGAGCAAAGGGATGCCTTTAAATAAATGGGTGATTTGGGCAAAGGGCACATAATTGCTGAAGTAGAAACATAAACTGAAGCAAAAGAGTTTATAATCTGAATTACCAGTTACTTCCTGTCTCCATTTTGTTTCACTGCACATGGCCAGTTTTTAACCAGTAGGCTTGTCAATTCTTTGGCATGAACCAACAACATAGCACCATCATAATCATCATACATACACACACACTGATTCTTTTCTATCAGTGTGTATTAGCTCAAGTAATATGCAGATTGAGGGAAATTACAGTTTAAATTAGGTAGCAGTAATGTAGAAATATTGTCTCCTAATCCAGTTCCCCAAATCACCTCATTTTCTTCCCTTGTCCCCCCAATAGAAATACATAGAAAAAAAATTTACTCACACTGCACGATGAGCTGCACCAAGGCTTCTCTTGGTTTCACATTAAATCCGTTGTACTGGCTGGTCTGACACCTGTACATTCCTGACATTTCCCTAGATACATTCACAATCCTCAGTGTTCCATCATAACTCTCCATTTGCATTGACCCATCAGGCATTGCAACTTCTTTATCCGCTCTAGACCAAAGGATGATGGGTTTAGGTTTTCCAGTTACTTGACACTGCAGTTCTATTGTGTCTCCTTCTCTGGTGACCAAAGGTGATTTTTCCTGTGGAACAGTCAGATTGGGTGGAACTTGAAATGGGAAAAAGAAAATTTTTCAAGGTTAGTATAAACTGGTAAAACATATTCAAACACAGAAAATCATAAGGAAACAATTTCTGCTGGTTGAAGAAGTGTGACAATTCAGATGACAAAAATTATAGAGACCCTGAGAATAAATAGAACATAAACTCAAAGTGATTATGAATTGTTTTCATAGAACTTTCTTAAATGAGGTCTTCAAACATTTGCAAAATAAATAAGGCATTAAATTGAACCGTGAATGATGGGCATAAGAACAATCTACTCAGTGACTTATTATCAACTGTTAACTGGGTCTTTAACGTCTGCATTTCACAGAAGAGTAATCCTACTTGTTGAAGTAGGATTTAGCTTTTTGGTCTTCTGCTTCCTATGCTGTTTTCTCTCACTCAAGGATACTATAAGAAAGGGATAAGACACATTATAGACTTAGCAGGTAGAGTAAATGCAAGCAGTAGGAAAGGGAAAAAGAACCTTTGATATAAAATCAGAAGTTCTGACTTTGGAAACTGTGGCCAAATTGCTAGGGTTTAGGATTTGTTCTCTCCCTAGAGGAAATGAAATGGAACAACTGACTACAGTGCCACTCTCTGACAATTTACTATATTCTTCTCTTTTGGACTTCTAATATTGTTTGACACTGGAATTTTATGTAATTTCACTTTAAGACATTTTGAGATCATTGTAAATAGTTTCTCATGATATTGCTATTTCTGTAAAAATAATTTTAAGTGAGTTTTCAAAGTTGTATTTCAATAATATAAGAATTTAATTTTCTCAAGTAAAGCTAATTTCTGATTTGACTGAAGATATTTATGAGAAAATTAGGTTGATTTTATGGGAACTTACTTTACTATGCTGGAATATATTTATGTTAGGGTTTGAATTCAAAAGCATCTATGTAATAGAACATCTATCAAAAAAGCATGAGCTAAATTAGATGGCAGAATAAGAAAAAAACAGAAATATATGAATAATTTTATCTTTGTAATAAATGTCACACACTCCCTCCTTTGGAAGTAATATTACACATGGACGAAAAAGTAAAGCTTTATTCTCCTTCTAGCGTTTCTGTGCTCCAGTGCCCAGGAACAAAAACAAACATAATTAATTTTTAAATTATTTTTCAACTAATGTTGAAATGTTGTTTCTCTTATTTCGCATAGAGAAAACTAAATTCAAGTACAAAATGATATGAAAATTATCTCACTATTTAAGAATGTTCATGTCTACTTTTTCATTTAATTCCTTCATTTACTTCTAATTAAAAAAACAAGTTAAATAATACATAGCATCCTAGAAATTAGACAATATGAAGCATTAAACACTACCTTCTTGAAGTAGATATACATTCTGGGAACTGGCATTAACAAAAGCTATTTTAAAATTGCTGCATTTAAAAAAAATCTGTATGTTAAGCAATTTATTCTTGTAAACATAAACAACTAAATGATTTAGTTAAGTAATTTGTTCATTTTGAAGTGAACCACCAGGGAATGATGCAATTCTAAGCATCATCTTACAACAATAGGATCAGAAACAAGCTATAATATTTATTAATCCTCCATGAGAAAGAACACAGAGTAATGGCAGTAATCTCAGCATTCAACATTAATTTTGCTACTATTGCATGCCAGACATAGTTAGGGATTTTACATTTTCATTAATCCCCATAACAATCCTAGGATCAAATATTTAGTACTAAAATTTAACAAATGAGAACACTGAGAATAAGAGCGGATAAATACTCTGATTTGAATAGAATTCAAACTGAGGCCAACTTATAGCAGGTGGTTAATGGAGAGCTTTGACCCCTGAAGCAGGCTCCAGACAACTATGGTGTCTGGAATGAATAACTGGAGATAGCACTGGACTCCTTTCCTCTTGTTCATGATCACTCTGCGCCTATGGACAAACTAGACCAGTTTTCCCTGCCCATCTCTTGGACACTGCCTCAGAGACAATTAAAAAGAGTCAAGGTAGGAATGTGAGGGGTAAATAACACATACATTGCAAATTACCTTATCTATCTATCATATATCTTAAATATGTATGTCAACCTATATCAGAATAATTCCCTTATAGAAGCCAAAACTGCTTATAAGATATGCCAATTCAAATAAATATCCAAATTATGATAAATTTATATAAAGTAAGTGAAAAGAAAATATTTATTAAAAGATTATTTAATAGAATGCTTTGGTTTGAAATCTTTCATCCTCAACTCTACATAAACAAACCACATGACTTGGCCAAGTTTAAACATTCTGAGTATTAATTTCTTCATTTTTGAAACTAAGAATTTGTACTTTATGAGCTTCAAGGTTATTAATATTTTGACTATAAAGTTAAAGATAGAAGTGGTCTAATAAAAGTATCTGTTTTCTGACTTAATAAGATGAATATTCAAAAATCTTATTATATTACGACAGTCTAGCAAAAATAGATCCTTGACTAGCTATATTTTTAAAGTTTATAATGCTAAATAGTTCAAAAACTCCCTTGAAAATGTACGTTGAATTCATTAGATAAATCTTTCTCCCTATGTAATCAAAATTATAGAAATGTAAACCTCAGTTTTAGTCTAGGCAAGTTAAAATCGATTTTTTAAAAAAGAAATTAGCCCATTTTTTGAAAGCTTTAAAACTTGTCAGCGTTTTTATAGACTTCTCTCTCTACATTAAAATTTCCATTCTCTAGAACTCTCTTAATTGTTACAAATTTTTTTTTTTCTGTTGGGAGATCTTGTTTGTGACTATCTCTCTGTTTTGTATGTTCATAATACAAATTGTAACTTTATCCCAAGGCTCTTCCAAGTCTGTGATTGCAGCCTACTTCTATTTTCCAAAAGTCTTGCAAATCCCCAAATCTAAGCACTGTTTATTTCTTGACTTAGCTGACAGGTAATTATCAACACACTTAATCTGCTGATTAGGAATCACAGACTGTTCTTTGTTTTACCATGTCCTCTGACTCATCACTTCCAATCAGCTGCTTTGGTCTGTCTATCAAAAATATTTCTCATATTTGCTTATATCTTTTCATGGCTACAGGTGGATTTCTTAGTACAGAACATCATTTTGTCTTCTTGTGACAGTGTCCTAAGCAATCTCTTGGTCACCAGTCTAATTCTTCAAGGTCTGCTTTCTTGTCATAATCTTTACCATCATAAATACAGTTATGTTCATGTCACTATGAAAACCACAATCCTTATTAAAAGTGGTCATCATAATACTGCTTTAATAAAAAAATGAAAATAGCCTGATAGATTTATTTAAAAATTACAGTGAAAAATGAATACCCAGTAGATTAAGATGCAGCCTTTTAAAATGATGATGAAATAGACCTATTTGCTGATAAAGATATTTATATTTAATAAAGATATTTATTGAAGCAAGAAAAGCATGCTAGTGAGTAGTATGAATAGCTATAAGTACTAATAATAAATGAGTAAAACATGTTATTGAGCAGTATGCACAATATCACATCTTTATAAAAAAAGGCATATGCCAATAAATGACAACAGAGAGCTTCTTACAGGGGAGAATATACATGATTCATCTTTATACGTGCAGCATCCCACACTCTATTTTGCACAAAATAGGAACTCAGTAAAAATGTTTATACAAATATAAAAATTAAGACAGACAGACGGGCACTGATTTAGGGAAAGAACAAGACTTACATGGGAAAAAAATAGCAGAAAAGGAAGCCCAAAAGGAAATATACCAAAGCATTAATAGTGGTTCTCTCTGTGTGGGATTATTGGTAAATTCTAATTTATTTGTGTATTCTCTTTCATTTTCACTCTTCTACAATATGTGCAGTGCATATTAGCATATTACAGGCTCCAGGAAGCCCAGAGAAACATAAAATGTTAATGCAACCTATTTTCCAAAGCTCATTTTATGAAAACTCAACTTTTTTAATAACAACAAGTGTATCACTCTGGACATGGTGTTCTAGACAACGTCATAGAAATGCTCCTCTAGAGTCACTCACGCCTACAATAATCATTCACTTACAGTTGCACTGACTAGTGGACCTCTGTGCCCTTGCACAAGCAGTTCTTTTCTATGCTCAGCAAGTCTGGCCCTTGTTGTCTTCCAGCAACTCCGGCAGCTCCACGTGTTAAAATTGAATTCAAATGTTACCACGTATGTGATAACTTTGCCTACCCGTGGGCTGAGTTGGTTGCTCACTCTTCTTGACATGTTATGTTGTTTACCCAGTTAACCTGTACTAGTGGCTTTGCCCTGTATTTCCCCAAGTCTAAATCCCTGACCATACAGCTCCCTGAAGGCACAGAGTGTCCTACTCTACCTCTAAAGCCTGGTGCCCTGCTTTCCTGCTTGGCACCGACCAGGAAGTCATGAAATAATTGAGGATGGCAGAGAGGGAGAGAAGGCAAGAAGGGTAAGAAAGTAAAAAGATAAAAAGCTATGAATATAATTGAAATAAACATAATAGATAAAAATCATGAACATTTTAAAACAAGAGTAATAAATTACAATAGAATGTAATAATTCTACAATTAGTAACACATACAAGTAGCACAATCTGCTATGAACTATATTGTTAGCATAGATTTCAGATGAAGCAGATCTTGAGATGTGTGGAGGTATGAGAGAGTTAAGAGAGTCATAAAAGGACTCATGGTTTTCTTTTTCTTTCTCCTTTCACTTAAGAATTGGATAGATAAGTTGTAAATTAAACAAAAGAGCCAATCTGAGTAGATGCCATTTAATATTGTCATGTTTTTATTCCCTTTCTCTAAACAATTAAATTATTTTTTCTTAAAATATGAAGTTTCACAACAAAAACATCAAATTAAGTAGGAAAATTAGAAATGTCTGCACTTTATGGTATCTATACATAATGTACTTGCCAGAGAAAAGTCATAAAGATAATAAAAACACAAAGATACATTTTCTGATATACATTCTATATGTTGCCCTTACTTTGATTTTTATCTGAAATACTGCTGTAGG